CCCAACGTGCCAGGTGGGGGGAACCCCCCCCCCCAGCACTCCCCAGCCCATGCAAAAGGGTTTTGGTGGCCAAGCATCACTACGCCCCAAATTCTGGCTGTTTTGTCTCACCCCTTCACTTGGTGGGGTGCCCCTTGCTGCAAGGGCAACTGGACATGCCCTGCCCCTCCCTGGCACCCCCCAAGCCCCCCACTTCCCCCCTGCGCGGCTGCCGTTTTCGGCGGTACCCACTGGAAGCAGTCCCGCTCCCCGGCCACGCTCTTCAGGTACTGCTTCAGGGAGCTGCAAAACTCGCCCAGGTGCTTGTGCGACACCGTCATCTCATCCCGCACCAGGAGGAGGTACTGCCGGGCCCCCCGAAACACAGTGGCATGTGAGACCCGAAAAACACAGTGACACCCCCCCCCACACACACCCGATGCCACACTGCAGGGACACCCCAGCACCCCATGGGTAGTGGCCAGGCACTCTCACCGTGCAAGCCGTGCTCTCGCTGTCCGACAGCCGCTGGTGCAAGTCAAACCAGAGAGTCTAGGAAAAGGGGGAAAAGCAGTGGGGGGGGTGGACTGAGGCTGTGTGTCCCTCCCAGGCCAGCAGGTTTCTGTCCCCAGTGCTTGGCATGATGGGCTATTGCCCTTTCTCTGCAGGGGATGGCTCCAAGAGCCATTTGTACCTTCACGCCCTCCTGTCACGACCCTCTGCAAAAGCTCCCCATGCCACCAGTGCAGCTGACATCCCTGACACCATGTCCTCGCATCAGCCCCAAAACAGGTGTCACCTTTTCACAGTCCCTGAATTGTCCCTGGGACAGCCATCCCTCCTCAGTGCCCATTCACAACTTTCCAGCCCTGGGCACACTCTTATTTCCTCTGGCAATCATGATCAACATTTTTCTGCCCTCAGCCTTCACGGAACCTTTCTGCCCCCACACACAGCACCACCCTGTCCCCTTCTGCCCTGAAAGTGCAAACCACGAGGAGTTCAGAAACATCTCCTGCACTGCACCATTTTCTCCTTCAGTCCCTAGATGGAGTAAGACTGCCTCTGCAAGAGACATTGCCTTCTTCCTTATGTTTTTCTCTTGTTTAAATAAACTCACAGTTAATCGTTCCACAATGAATAGCTGCTGTCAGCTCATCAGATGTAATATCCTCCACCACCAGCAACCCAGCTTCCACCTGTGGCCTGTGCACACCACAGCACAGGGATGGGCATGGCCATCTCTTGGTCACCTCTGTCCCAACCAGGGCAGGGAGGTGGTGCAGCTGAGGGGACACCCAAGGGACAGCCCCACGCACAGAAACACTGGCCCTTACCTTGTCCTCCAGCCTGCCGATCAGCTCGGCCAGCCTGTTGATCTGCCCCTCCAGCCCCTCTGCCTTGGCCTCAGGGGAACCTGTGTGGAGCCAGGAGGCAGCGATGAAGCAAGAGGCACCTGCGGGCACCCTCTGAGAGCCCTGCTGCCCTCTGGGGAAGTCAGTCATTGCCTCTGTGCTGCCACTGGGACCACAGCTCCCTTCCCCGAGTGCCTCGAGCCACCCCAGGCTGCCAGTGTGGCTAGGAAATGGCCATCGCTTACCAGCCTGGAAGCTCTTCCCATGCTCCCTGGGGACCATCCGGCTGGTGGGAGAGTAGCTGGGCATGGGGCTGTCGTACCAGGTGTCCATCAGACCGTGGCCCGCCTTGCTGGGGTAGTGCCTGCAACCAGAGAGCATACAGGCCATCAGGGAGGGCAGAGCCAGGCATGTACAGCGCGGGGGGAGCTGACCCTGGGGAGCTGACATTGGAGCTTCCTTTTTGGCAGCTCTGCCACCGACGCCAGACCCCTTGGAAAGCAGCAGTGCCTGCACCCGTGCCCAGGCAGTGCAGGCTTCCCTCCCGTACCATCCTTTAGCATCACCCAGCATGGGGAGTAGGTCAGAATTAGAGCAACATCAGCGGACTGCTCCCAGCAGCCACAGATTTTCTTTCCTGCTTAAGAAACAATGCAGCAGCCCTCCCAGCATCTCCTGCAGCACTTGGGGATTTTTTCTCCCCTAGACAGACACCTGCAACACTGGGCATTTGGGCACCAGTAGCTGTGCCCAGCCAGCTGGCTGCACCTTAGCGGGGCTGGTTTTGCAGTTGGATGGCTTTGGCGACTAACACATGGGAAAAGTTGCTGTCACATGGGCAGCACATGGGCTGCCAATGCCTGAACTGCTGCCCATGAGCAGGGAAAGCCTGCCTGCCTGGCAGCCTGGCCATGTATCCCACCAACAGGCTGCAGCCGCGGTTCTCCTGGAGAATGGAGATACATCCACCTTTCTTCTTCCTCTGGGGCTACAAAGCCCATTTGGCCTGGTTCGTCCTGCAACACCTCTTGGAGAAAAGGAGTGTGTGTGCACATGCATACACATACATGTGTGCTTGTGCATGCACATACCCCTGAGACATCAATGACCATCCAGCTTCAGCTTCTCAGTGGTCCCCCCAGGCCCTCATTCATATACAAGCCAGAGAGAATGCTCAGACCTGCCATCCCCACAACAGTTTGCAGCTGCCATCCATGTGCAGAATGGGTTTTGGGAAGGATGACCCTCTCTTTCTTTCCTCCTCCACTGATGGGAAGCCTGAGCTGCAGAAGGAGAGGCTGAGCTCCTCAAATGTTTTCCAGCGTTTCCTTCCAGCAAGAGCAGCTCCATGCTGGCTGCCTGCCGATGGAGGTGACTGGGAGCCCCGGCTTCTCTTGACATCTCTTGCCAGCCTTGTGGCTCTTGGCTGGAGACAACACACTGAGCACTAGGGAGCCGATGGGCACAACACCAGCCAGCATCATTCCTGCCCTCCTGTCCCTCCCCAGGCACCCAGTTCCCTCCAAAGGGCAGCAGCCAGGTGCTCTCTCTACCCTCCCCAGCTACCGTGGGCAATTTCATCTGGGACCTTTGGTGCCAAGGGAGCAATGTTTGGGCTGCTGTTGCCCCCCAAAACCTGCTAGTGTGGACTTAGAATCACAGAATCATAGAATCGTTTAGGTTGGAAAAGACCTTTAAGATCATCCAGTTCAACCATTAACCTACACTACGAAGTCCACACTAAACCAGTCAAGGGTAGACTAGACTAAACCACGTCCCAAAGTGCCATGTCTACCCATTTTGTGAACACCTCCAGGGATGGATACTCCACCACCTCTCTGGGCAGCCTGTTCCAATGCTTGAC